GTTCGAAGGTGGGGTAATCCTTCTACGTCCTCAAAATCCACTATGTAGTTGGTTGTTGAATAATGGACCAACAATTACACTTGTGTGAATTTCTGCACGGTATATCTCCACAAGACCAATGTTGCTACTGCACTCGTGCTGGCTTTGTTGTTCCTTCGAAGGTCAAGCTTCTTCAACAACTGCAAGATCCGAACAATAGGACTTGCAAGATCAACTTGTAAGAGAGTTGACCTATCCCCTTTTTAATCAATAAGTTTGATCAAAAGTAATATCCTTCAACGTGGTGTGGTGCTTGAGGCAAGGAAACCTTCAAGTGTTTACACTATAGCTTTTTGGAAGGATAAGAAGTTTGCTTCTGGATAAGGAGTTTAGGAATCTCTCTTTATCAAGCTTTTTGGGCTAACTGTGAATGAGATAGCTTTAGTGATTGCTTCGTTGTGTTGTTGCATCAGCGTATCTCATCATGTACTCTCCAGTCTTCCAAGGAAGCTATTTATAACTGGATTGGATAATCTATCCGTTGAATCATAATAGACTATCCGTTGCATTTGCTCGCTTCAATTTTGAATGAAGATTGTGATTTGAAGATTCTCTGTTGACGTGGGCATTTGGACGTACCCAAATGTTGAGAAAGGATTCCTTTTTCCGCAAAATCCGTCTTCTAGCTTTTGTTCAAGAATTCAAGACTGTAGCACTTTACTCTGTTTGTCTTCTAGTGCTTGTTTAGGAATTCTGGGCAGGCTCTTTAATTTTAGATGCCCAAACTTTGTCTTCGAGCAATTTGTTCTTGAATCAGCATAATTATCTTCAATCTAGCCGTTGAAAACCAAGAGATTGATTTTTCCTTGCCAACGGTTAGAGTTTTCTTCATTCAGGACTTAGATAAATTTTCTAAGTCTTTTCTCACTTGTCCACTTTCTGAGACTTCCGGTCTTCAGTGAGTCTTCCGATTCTTAGCTGACAAATCCGGATGAGCCATTTTCAGACTTCCGGATGAGAAAGAGATCCGCGCTAGTCTTCCGATTAGCCTTCAGCGGGTTGTAGCGGGACATCCGGTTCTTATGTAGTCTTCCGGATCTGAGAATTTTCATCTGATTGAGAAATCCTTACTTGTTTCTGATACTTCCGATCAAGATATCCAATTTTTCATATCACTGAATTTGCTTAAGTCTTCAGGCATCAAAACGCTTAAAGAGATATCACAGTTTTATTGGAAATCTCAAGAGCTCGGTTTTGACAATATTTCTAAAAAGAAAAATTACATTGAATATTGGGGGAGGCTTAAGGTCCCTAATACATTCTAAATACATCATCATCAAAATCTATAATATTTTTCCCAACAATTTCCCCCTTTTTGATGATGACAAACAAGTGTTTTAAGAGTTCCGGTCGCTGTACTGAGAACTAATTTTATAACTTTCTTTTAGTTTCTCATAATATACAGCTTGTTAACAAAAACTCTTAAACAAATACAATTCAAATTAGAATAATTCCTAAACCAAGTCTTGTCTTGAGATTTTGTGATATCTTCCGCCATTGACCGTTTTCAGCTTCAGCAGATTCTGCTTGGCAGAGCGGTTGGCGTTGCGTTTGATAGATCTTTAATATCCAAAGTGGATATTTAAGATCTTGGAAGCAACACATCTCTCAAAATAAGAAGAAAGATAGAAAGAGAGTGTTGTTCCAGAGAAGGTGTATGGTCTAATACTGAAAAATACGAGATTTCCACCATAGACCTTCTCTACTGCCGAGATTCTCACCATAGACCTTAAAAGTCTTTTCTTCTCAATAGGCTTCTTCCATTGCCGTCTATGAGGGTGAGAAAGAAAAATTTCTTCATTGAGGGTATTTTTCTTGGTGTGTTCCTTAGACAGTGAGTTTGAGGACTTTTCATATTGAGGGAGTTGTTTGTGAAGGAAATGGATTGAGATATCTTGATTTAAATAGGGGAGGAGGAGGTTCACGGGTTCCATTAAGTGGGTAGTTGGAACGGTGAGAGTAAATGAGTTTCAACTTCCAAGAAGTTGAAAAGCAGATATCTTGATTTAAATAGGAGAAGAGAGGGTTCACGGGTTCCATTAATTTGGTAGGTGGAACGGTGAGAGTAAAAGAGTTTCAACTTCCAAGAAGTTGAAAAGTGGAAGGAATCTTTTACCAATTACCAATGAGTTGAAACTGTTCCAATTTGAAAATCAGTTTCGTTTGGTTTGAGAAACATAACTGTTTTAGTTTGGCTAAGCCCAAAAGAGTGGCCCAAAAAGAAAAGAAAGCTATGCACTAAAGGGAAATTATTCCTATTGGGTTCTCAAGGCCCAAAATAAGACTATCATTTTTCATTCCCTATAGTTCTAATTTCTACTTAGGACGAGGTAGCACCAAAACAAATGTGAATATTTAAAAGTAAAGTGGTACTGTTTTTCCAAAGTCCTGTACATTTTTAAACATCCTAGGGACCAGTACTTTTAGAGCTGCTTGGAAATGAATTAAGGACTAAAGCTTAGTTTAAGAAGGCAGATTTTGTAAAGTACCTGAATCGGAGATTTCCAATTTTAGTACCAAAACTGAGATATCCGTCTTCCATTGCTTTGAGCTTATCAATAATTCATTGCCAAAAACAATTGTTAGCCAAAACTAGTTAAGTTCCCCCTGAATTACATTCCCCCTGAATGTATGCGCTTCAGAAAAAATAATTAAGTCAAAATTATACTTGAGATAAGCATAATTAAGCATAATAAGCGCAATTAAGACATAAAGAAGCAATGTTTAAACCAATCAAGCAATGTTTAAACAAGAAGGTGTTTTCATCAAAACAAATTAGTGTTTTCACATACTTTCCCCCTGTTTTGATGTAAAGAACCTTCTGTTTCTCTTGCGCTTTGAAGATCCGGCAACTTCACTGATGCCCTTCATGTTCCCCCACAGTTCTTTGATGCGTCTTAAATTTTCACGTCTTTCTTCTGATTGAGCATCATTTGAGAAGTGGTCAACAACTGTACCTATAACTTCTGTGCCATCCAGTCCTGAGCTGGATAGAAGTTGTGCTGAGTTTTCCGGATTTCTTTACTGTGCTTCAAGGATTAGATTTGTCAAGTTCAGATGAGAAGGAATATAAGATACTTCTCCTTCTTTGATTGCAATAGGAAGCTGTGGTATTGGAGATGGACTGTGTTGTTGGAGAATTACTTCCATCTTGCGGTTTCCAGAGTTTGCACCAATAAGTCTGAACAGCTTGAATGCTTCCTTTTGATTGTCAATGATCACCTTCAAGTAGTCTTTGGTCACTACCTGATTTGCAGAAGCTACTGCTAGGGCTGATCTGATGTCCATTTGGAGAAGGGACATCTGTTTTTGGAGACTAATTGTGACACTCGCTATTTTCTCTTTGACTTTGTTGATCTCTTTGAGATGAAGTTGACTGTCAGAGGCATATATTTCCATCGTGTTGCTCACAGTTTCACTCAATAGAGAGATAATCTCCAGAGTCTTCTGCACTGATTTGCTTATTTCTTTGAGATCTGCGCTGTGTTTTCCTTCAGATTTCTCTATTAGCTGGGTGTGCCTGACTTCCATTTGTTCTATCTCTTGCCTAAAGGAGGCATGTTGAGATGCTAGGGCTGATTCAATCAGCCCTTGGACTTTCTTTGTCCAGATTTCCGGTATCTCATCCGGAAGAGCAGGGGTGGAAGAGCTATGGAAATGAAAGTTGGTTACCTGATGAGATGATGGTGTTCTTTGGAAGAGTTGCATAGGAAGAGATTCAGCATCTTCTTGGACATCTTCTTCATCAGTAACCTTCAGTGTTCTTTCAGATTCTCTTTCTGTTTCAAGCGCAAAATTTGATATATCCCTAGAGAGGGAGTCTCTTTCTTCAGCTGTATTCTCTTCTTCAAAAATGGCTACTTGAGTTTCAGAGACCTCTAGTTCTGCCATTTGAGCTTCCTTTGCAGCTTCTCCAGAATCCCTCTGTGCTTCAACAGCTTGCTCCATTGTTTCTGGAAGAGCTGACTGTTCCAGAATTTCAGCTGACTTTTCCGGGATCTCAATTTCAGTAGGATTGGAGATCTCACAAGGAGTTGTGAGAATCTCCAAAACTTGAGATTGGATTAGTGGCTGAAATTCTTCTTCTTCTGCTGCTGTTTCCTGGTTCTGTTCTTGTGGGGGAGGGGTTGCCTTCTCTTGAACAACTTCAGTCAGAACCATTTCAGAAGCATGTGAAGTTTCCTGAAATGTTGGTGAGGTCTCCGTTTCGAGGGCAGGTGAGGTTTCCGGAAATGTTTGGAAATCCTCAGCTGTTGCTTCAGAAGTGAGAGCCACTTGATTTTCTGTAGCTTTTGAGAAGACTGGCTTGAAGACTGCAGTGTCTTCATCATCTGCTTCATAGTCTGAAACTGGTGTATTGGCCAGGTATTCCAGATGCAAGTCTTCAGAGTTCCTTTGCCATACCCAGTAGTCATCCAAAATCTGTTCACAGTTGTGGTTGACTAGTATTCCTAAGCACTTCTTGATGATTTTCTCATTCTTCAGCTGTTGGTCCCAATTCAACAGTTGCTCTGCTGAATTCCCAACTTTCCAGGCTTTCCAATCATAGTATAGCTGCCAGAATTGGTTATCTGCATCATCTGTTTGAGGCTGAGATGAGGTTGGAAGTCTTTGGACTTGAGGAATTTCTTCTTCAAATTGTTGAGGGCTCCGGTTTTGAGCAGATGTTTCCTCAGCAGGTTCCTTCTCCTTCAACTCAACCGGATTGACATTTCCAGATGTTGGGGAGTTGATCTTCCTCTTCTTCTTCCTTTGAAGTTCTCCTTGGTCAGAGGATTCTTCCTCTTCTTCAAGATTTATTGGAGCAAGATTCTGTGGTGCTTCAATGGAGGGAGACACCACTTTCTTCCTTTTGGTAGTCTTCGTCATATGGATGAGTGGGACGTTATTTGAAGAGCTTTCTTCTGCAGTGGCACTAGTACCAGCTCTGTTTTCCCCTTTTGAAGACAGATAATATAACCAGTATCTTTCTTCATACTTCTTTCCTTTAGAAGCAATACCCATAGATCCCAAAATATGTCCAAGGTATAGTCCTTGACAGAGATATTTCTGGTTGGGCTTTCCCAAATGCTTTGAGATGGAATTGAAAAAGTGTGCAGCCCAGTTTACCTTAGTTTTGGTAATGAGAGAGTTGATGATGAAGGCTCTCTCCTGGGTGATGTCATCGGCATGACCTCCACTACCACACTCGAGGCAAGCGATGACCAGTTCCAAAACCAACTTGTAATCGTTGTTTAGATCTGCTTTCTTCGCTGGGCCAGAAGGAGCTTGCCCAGAGATTCCAATGATGTTCCAGTCCAGATTTTTGACTGGAAATTTTCCAACTTCAACTCCAGAATTGGGAAGGCGAAGCTTTTCTCCCAATTTCTTTTGCGAAAGCTTCACTCTTGTACCTCTAACAGTGGACTTGATGACTGGAAACGTCCTCTGTGGGTCCTTCTTTGAATGGGTAGTTTTGATTTCTCCATTTCTGTAGAATTCAAGAACTTCTTCCTCAATTTTGAGGCGAATCTCCATTTGAAGAAATTCGGAGAGTTCTTGAGCGGCTATCATTTGCAGATAGCTTTGAAAGAATGTTGGGGATGAGCACTTGGCTTCTAACTTCTGAAAGTGGACATTTGCTCCGACAACCTTCATTTTCTTAGAAATTTGGGTGAAAATTTGAGAAAGAAAGACCTAGGGTTCTTGCAAGTTCTTGAGAATTTTTCGCGAAGAAGATGACGAAGAATTTTTGAGTGGGCGGTTGAGATCTGAATAGTGGCGATTGGGTTTTAATGTGGGCGATTTATGTGGCTAGTGGCGATTGGATTTTTTAACTGTTCCCAAGGCCACGTCCTCACCCATCATTTTGACAGACGTGGAAAGTGAAGTACCACGTGCACTACATTCAGTCTAATTGAATTAGACCAATTTTGTGAAGCAAATCGGAAAACTTGGCTTCACTTAGTGGTTTGGTGAAGATATCCGCCAGTTGTTCTTCAGTTGAGATATACTCAATTTTGATATCTTTCTTTTCCACATGATCTCTGATGAAGTGATGCTTGACATCAATGTGCTTAGTGCGAGAAT